ATATATATATATATATATATATACTAAAGAATAAAATTATATTTACTCTGAATTAATTTCTTAATTCTCAAGTACCAAATATTTTCTCTGCATCAGTATTCTTACAAGGAAATACCATAAAAGCACACACCTGTTACCTGACTACAAAATCTAACAAAAGGTTAATGTAAGATTTCTTAATGATAATACTGAGAGTAAGCAGCATTTCCAAATCTTCTCTCAGTCAACCACTTTTACTGACTACTGATTGAATGTGGATTATTTTATTTTCAAGCCCTTAACTGACTGTGAATGAATAACAAAGTAAGTACAGAAATCATAATTTATAAAACAAAAGACACTGTAAAATTAGACTCAGAAGAAGCTAGGGCCATTTTAAGATAAGACAAAACAAGATAAGACAAATTAAGATTACTTTAAATAATATTTGAAAGTAAAACTTTCACTCTCAAAGACAAATACCATCATTTCTAATATGTGAGATAAATATTTCCATTTGAAATTCCTGGAAATTAGAAACCAGACTCACCTCACTACTGGAGTAAATAGACTATGAAGACGACAGTATAACCTCACACCCTGTGTGAAACAAAGATATATCAAAAACACGTTACAGCACCAAATGTCAACAAAATTTTGAAATAATAAATGAATCCACTTTCAATATCCTGGAGTCACTGAACACTCTCAAACAATTTAAAAATTATTCAAATGTTATAATACAAATGATGACTAAAATTCTTTTTAAAAGATTAAATTTTGTCATGAATTTGTCATATATATGACATAAACAATGAGTTTTCTAAATTACTTTACTTAAAATATAAAATTTCAACATATATTTAAATCCAGAGAAACCTATACAGCAACAAACCTAGGATATGTGTTCATTATGTCAATAAAATTTTGTCGTGTACAATCAAAATTGATATATGTTTTATATTTGTATTTTTAAAGTTTATTCTAGTTTTGTGATTGTATGTTGCTCTATGTAAAATAGTTTTCAATGGATATAACTTTCTGATTGAGGCAATAAATAGCACAATCTCCATTTAGAGCTTGATAAGAGAATGATGAAATGATTAAACATTGGTTTTTCAGGTACCAAAGAAAAAATAAAAGAGGCTTGCTTGTATATGTAATTTAAGAATTTTCTACACTAGAACAAGTTTCTTTTTAAATCCCATCACACCTTTTTATCCTTCCCAAGTATGATAACAAGAACCTACCACTGAAGAAATGCAAAGAGGATTCATTACCTTTGAAATCACATCCTGCATCTCATTTCTTGGGTAAAAAGTACCGTCATCATAGCGGAATCTATATAACATCTGCTCTGGCTTAAACTGATGCTTATCAGTAACTAAGAACACAGAGAAAATATATTAAAATACTGACAATCTAAAAAGTGGCAATAAAACTCAAACAAATGTACGTAGCATGTATTTCCAAATACTAGACCACCTAGTTTTACCAAAAGCTTTTTTTCTAACACAGCCATCAATTCTGATTTTTTATAGTGAAATTCCTAAGATTTATCATTTAATATAATTTTTACATGATTTGAGAACTAAATTCAGGTTCCCATATTCAGCTAGCATTATGTATAAGTGTGTAAATACACAAGGTTGTGCTTTCCATTTCTTCAAAATACCACAAAACTGAACAAAAACGGCACTTCGAAAGGCAGACAGTTGTATAAGTGAGCCATGGTTTGACTCTCAGCCCTGGAAGTGAATTTTAGCATCCAGCCGCTTAATCTCACTATGACCAAGCCAAGACCACACATATACCACTTGTGACCACTTGTCTTGTGTTCAGACCTCCAGAATAGATTAAATAATTTAAATGTGTAGAGATTCCAAAATTTTAAAAGTTGTTAGGCTCAAAGATGCTTTTCTAAAATGTCACTTCATTTTTTTTCTCAGTGGAATATAAAAGTGGTCATCTTTTAATATCATCCTCAGGGTAACACTTTAAAGACTCCTAGTCTTAACAGTTCAGTAAAATCGAACAAATTGCTTTAAAAAAAAAAAAAAAAAATAAAGAAAACCTGAAGTAAAATTTTCTCAATCTCTTCCAAAAAAATTGAAGAGAAAGGAGCACTTCCAAACTCATTTTTCAGGGTCAGACAAGGGTGCTACAAGAAAACAAAATGATAGGCCAGTATCTCTGATGATTCCTCAGCAAAACACTATCAAGTCAAATTCTACAGGATATTACAAAATCACAACCATGATAGAGTGGGATTTCTCTATGGGATACAAGCATGGTTTAACACCGACACATCCATAAATAGGATACACTGTGTTAACCAAATGAAGGCTAAAAATCATACAATGAGCTTGACAGAGCCAAAAAGCATTTGACAAAATGCAACATTCTTTTATAACAAAAGTGCTCAACAAATTCAACATAGAAGGAATATCCCTGAACATAGTAAAGACCATACATAACAAGCTACAGCTAACACTCCCTTCTACAGATGAAGCTGAAAGCTTCTCCTCTAAGATCAAGAATAAGAAAGGGACGTCTACTCTCATCACCCTATTAGCTGCTGGGCTGGCACTGTTAGCAAATGTCTACACTTCTATGGGGGAAAGCTGCTGCCCTTTTAAATTACTAGTAATGTTAGCTCTCTTTCAATGGTGCTATTTTGTTTCAGAGAATGCCCTCCTGAGGAAAACATCAGGAGTATTTCTACACCTCCCAGGTAATTTATACTTTTAGTGTAATACTAAATTCTGAGCCTAAGAGGTGCCCAGCTTGGCCAATTTTAAAGCATCCAAGGTGTGAAGAGGCATGGCCTCAACTGTAAAATTAATTATACATGCTCAAGAATGTGCTGCTGCTACAAGTGATGATATCTTTACTGTGTTAATATGTGTAAGGTTCCCTAATAAAAGCCACTTGCCTTCTTTGTTGGGGAGAGGTCTTGCTTTAAGAATTACCACCATTATACTTGCTACAAAGGGGCAAACCCACTGCATTAGTTCTTATTTCTGTTCAACATAGTACTAAAGTGTTAGCCAGAACAACTAGATCAGAAAAATAATACAAGACATCCAAATTGAAAGGAATCAAAACTATCTCTTTTTTCATACGGCATAGTTTATATACAGGAAACCTTAAAAACTATTAGAACTAACCAACAGCTGTAATACTCTATTAGAACTTTTCCATAAAGGTGAAGAACACAAAAATCAAACTATAAAATTCTGTAGCATTTCTATATGCTAAAAATGAACCATCAAAAAAAGAAAACTATCTCATTTATAATAGTATCAAAAAAATCAAAGAATAAATTTGACCAAGGGGGTAAGAAGATCTATATATTGAAAACTATAAAACATTGATAAAAGAAGTTGAAGACATAAATAAATGGAAGTGTCTCTTCTGCTCATGAATTGTGAGCATACTAACCAAAGGGACCCATGGAAAAGAATCTCTATCAAAATTAAATGGCATGCTTCACAGAAATAAAAAAAAAAATCTAAAGTTCCTATGAAATCACAAAAAACTGTGAACAACCATAGCACTCATGAGAAAAAGGAACAAAGTTGAGGCATTACATACTTGACTTCAAAATATGCTACAAGGCTATACTACACCATGGTCTTAGCGTAAAAACACATGATAGAGATGCCAGAAATAATCCCATGCATTCAGGATCAACTGATCTTTGATAAAGCTGCCAGGAACGCACAACAGGAAAAGACAGTCTCTTCAATAAACACATTGGGAAACCTACATATGCACATGTAGGAGAATAAAAATAGAACTTTATCTGACACTATACATAAAGTCAACTCAACTTGGATTTAAAGACTTAAATATCTAAGACTTGAAACTGTAAAATTACTCCAAGAAAGAACAGAGAAAAAAATCTGACATTAATCTGGACAGTGACGTTTTCATATGACACCAAAAATTGCAGGCAACAAAAGCAAAAATAGACTAATTATGCACAGCAAATAAAATAATCAACAAAATAAAGAGTAAATTGTGAAATAAAAAATATTGCAAACTATACATCTGATATAGATTAATATCTAAAACATATAGCTCATTCACCTCAATATAAAAAATACAAAAAATGCAAGTGAAAATGGAAAAGTGACCCAAACAGGTAAATCTTAAAAGGACAAATTCAGAAAGCCAATAGGCATGTAAAAAGGTGCTCAACATCTCTAATACTCCAAAAATTGCAAAGCAAAATATAATGAGTTATAACCTCACAAAGGAATAGTTTCCCAAAAGGGAAAAGATCAGTTATGATAAAGATGTAGATGAAAAGGGACTGTTGTACATTTTTAGCGAGAATATTGGTAGAGGTATCATGGACTATAAAATGGAAATTCATTGAAAAATTAAAAATAGAACAATTATTTGATCCAGCAATCTCACTTCGGGGTTGATGTCCAAAGGAAATGAAATCAGCATGCAAAGAGAAATCTGTACTCTCACACTCAAAACAGCACTGCTCACAAGAGTCAATATACGTAGTCACCCTAAGTGTCTGTCAGTGGATGAACAGGCAAGGAAAGAGCAGCTAATATACTCTGTACTTCAAAATTGCTAAGAGGACAGATCTTAAATGTTCTCACCCCCTGCAAAGAAAAAAAAGCCATGCGATGTCAAAGGCATGTTAATTAGCTTATTGGGGTGATCATTTCACACTTTAAAACATCATGTTTAGCTGGGTATGGTGGTGTACACCTGTAATCCCAGCACTTGGGAGGCTGAGGCAGGAGGACTGCCACAAGTTCGAGGCCGGCCTGGGCTACATAGCGAGTTCAAGGCCTGCCTGAACTGTATGGCAAGACACTCTCTCAAAAAACTAATAAATAAATAAATAAAACATCATAATTTACACTACATATGTTTTACACTACATATATAATATTATGTATATAATATTATAGTTAAGTACACCTCAATGAAGCAAGATTAAAAAAGAGACTCTGATTAAAATCTCCTCTCATTTATTTTCTTTTCCAGGATAAGTTACTTTATATACAGTATAACAAAAATGACTGTTCTAGACTGTTCTAAAAACTTCAAAATAAAGCTCAAACAGATTGGTTCAATATTGTTTGTACAGCAAAATACAACATATTCAGAGGAGATAATTTGCTTCAATGAGCTACACTTTCATAATTACACAGAAGACTTTGACCTTTACCTTTCACTAGAAATATTGAAAAGGGAGGAAAAAAGCTGTCAGAATTAATTTTCATTACATACCCTTGGCAAACCCAGAAGAATATCTAAAGACTTTAGTAAGAACGGGCACACACAAACACATGATGTTTTAGCTCTTTTACTGAGCCCAAGGTTTAAGGCCATAAATTGGACCATGATTTTTGCTTCCTATATTTCCTCAAAAAATAGACAACATAACATTTTGGCATTTTTTTGTCCTAGGCAACCCATCAAGAAGAAAGTCATGTGTGAAATAACTAAGATTAATAGAAATATTTTAAAATTATTTTGCATGTTTCAAGATCAGTAAACTTTTCCTGGTGAAATTTACCTCTTCCCATTTTTTCACTTAATATTCTTTGAAATTTATTATTGTCTGGATACCCCAAAATTTAAGGGTGCTTTAGTCCAAAGGTTTCTTACCACAATAACACAACTGGTAGTCTCCCCTATTCACAAGGGAATTTTTGCCATGATAGACTCCTGCGCCTTTGAGAGTTACAGCTTCACAGGTTACTCTGCAACCCTTGGTTGTGCTGCATTGGGAAAGAAGTCAACGGGTCTGCATTCAAATCCACTGCGCCAACAGGCGCTTTCCCTAGCATGAACAACGGACTCCCTAACAAGAGTTCAAGTCCTTTGGTGAAATAAGTTGGCTGATGTAATTATTTAGACCACTCTGTCAGAGAATCATGGATCTGAGAGAGTGGGAGGAGGAGCTCTGGTTTGCAGCATTTGTTAATTTCTATTTTATAAACACTCCCACCCTGGTCAACTTTAAATTACCAATCAATCCTGAATGTGAAGTTAATCAGTGTTACACCATTACAGAGTATTTCCATCATACAGAAATAATAGACATAAATAACTTCCAAGGAACACAGGTAACAATAAAATTTAGTGAAATAACTATGAATGTAAAGTTTCATGAATGTGTCATCTCTGTTTATAATTTAAGTAATCTATGTATATGTTTATCAATTTCAGTATTAATAATAATTACCTTAACAACCAATCAGCTTGGAAAATGTTCTTATTATTGGCTCTCAAGAGCTTGTACAACATAAGCCAACTTCAGCACACTGTAGGGTGTAACAGATTAGGTCTCTGAATTCTCACATGTGTGGAGTTGTTCAGGATGAGCATCAGCAGCAGACCATGGAGGAAGCATATGCAGCTTCAACTCCAGACTTCCCACTGTAAGCGAGGGGCTGCCTCCTGTGAAGTTCTTAACGCTCACAATGTAAATAACAGCAAAAACAGTCCATTTATTTTTCCTGCTTGCAGTTTTTAAGCAGACAGTTCATTCAACTTTATTTTGGGAATTCTATTTTCACAGAAATGCAACTGGATTGACATACTAACTAAGCTAGTAGATTTGGCTCATATCCTTTCACTTGAATAGAATTGCTTTACTCATGTGAAATTGTATATGTTTTCTTATCCTCAGTTTGGGACAATCAGAGATCTCAAAAAAGAAATCTATTTCTCATGATAAAAATTTGGTATGTCAAATCTGACACTGCAATTGACCAAATCCTGACACCACTAAAAGCCTGGGCCACTAACTCAAATTGTAACACATGGAGCATTAGGCAAAGTACACAGTGCTATATGTGTCAGAAAACGAGTTCATCACGTTATAAACATTGTTCAAAAAAGTTTTTAATTATCATAATTTAAATGTCTGAACAGTTCTGGTATTTGAAATTTTAAAGTGAATCTTATTTCAAAGTATACTTAATACTTTCATTTCCTGTATTATTGGAGAGAGTGGTGACTAAGGTTAGCAGGATAAATTGGTTAGGACTGAATTTTTTCCATTCTTCTATACTTTTCAAAAATTTTTGTTTCTTCCCCTTTTGTTGGGAGAAAACTAAGATGATCATGAGAAAAATGTAAGGAGAACAGCCAGATGGTTCTCTCTGTAGAACTTTCTGGATCCTCTCTGTAGATATTTCATCACTCATGAAATAAAATATAAGTCATACTTTAAAAGATTGTGTCCATGAAGATAGGCAATGTTATTCCAACTGAATTTTGTACCAATTATGAATTAATTTAAATGCACTTGATTAGCTATTCAGGGCTTTAGGCAAAAATAACAGTTTTGTTTTTGTAAAGTAAAATTTCACCCCATAATAACTATGTCTTCAGAACCCAATTCACTAAGCATGGAGGCAATAGAAGATTCTTAGATCCCTTTTGACAGAACATGACAACAGGAATGGAAAGGGGACTTGAAAACACCCAGTAGCTCCCATGAAAGAACACCCTCCACTGCCTACACCCAGACCCTTCCTGGCTGCGGCACTATAAGTCTCTGTAATGGATTTGATCTATTACCAGGTGCCACACAGCCAAAAAGGAAAACATTTGAGACGGAAATCCCAATTACCCTGATTTGATCATATGCAGTATAAACCTGTATAAAGTTACTACATGGTATTTCATAAATATATTTATTCTATGACAGTCAAATTAAAAATAATAAATGTAGTCTATTTATTTCCCAAATATATAGTTGGGCCTGGAGTAAGAAGAAAGGAAGAAGCAGGAATGCCATCTTGCTCAACAGCTCCTCACGTCTCCTCCGTTAGATGCCACTTTCTAGCCTACCAAACACTAAAGGCATCTATCCAATGCTTTAGACATTTCAGTGATGCTCACGCATCAAATAAAACATCAGATATAAGCTGTAAATATTATTTAAAATACAACAGTCCACTTATTCATTCAGCAAATGTCTACTGACAACTTGTCAAGTGCTGAGCCCTCCAGGAATATGCTACATAAGATGGAAAGAGGGTTCCGTTCTGATGAGGCTTATGTTTTAATTGGAGAGTAGAAGTAGGGATATAGGGGAAAAAAAGAAATAAAACAACATGGTAATTTCAGAAAGTGAGAAATGCATGAAGAAATTTTAAAAAATTAAACAATTAGGATGTTGGAATGATGGGAGCTAGAAAGCTTTCTAAAAGCCAAAATGTCATGGAAAACATGATTTATGGAAACAGGGATTTTCGTCGTTTCATTTACTACTGTATGACAAGATCTTGGAAAATCCCTCACTTTATTAGGAATTAATAAGCAGTTACTGAATGAGAACAGCAAGACTCTAAACTGGAAGTTACCTTGGAAAGTTGAAGGAGGAGACAGACAGCCAGGGTGACCATGGTGTAACAATACAGGTACAACCTGGGTGTCCATTTCAGAGATGAAGTCAGGGGCCCTATCATGTAAACTTTCATGGGCTATGGAAAAAGATGTGGGCTTTCATTTAAGTTTGATGAGAAGTCATTAAAAAATTGTAAACCAGGGAATCTTTCGATCTTTTGCCTGGAAATCTTCAGCTGTTTCCTGGAGGGTGGACTATGGAGGTAGGGAGCAAAACGGAAGCAAGAGAAGAGTTGAGGGAAATCAAGAGAAAGGTGGCGACCTAGAAGGGCGAGAACTGAATTAAGGAGGGGATTTCTGACTAGGTAGATGGTGACACCAGTCATACGGGCAATGTTTCACAGGGCGAACAGTGAACGGATTTGTTTTGTTTGCACACCACCACATCTTAAAAGCGACACGAACATAAAATCCCCACAGGCAAACATCTACCTTTGTAATTCTTTTACTCCCTCCTCCAATTTCGCATTAGAAATTTTTTCAGTTTTATCCTTAGTGTTTTTTTCACTGCTTTCTTGTTTTTTGCATTTGTTGCTAATGTTCTCAGGATCTAGTACTCTCTTCCTATGACTTTGGAACAGTCTCTCACTTTATTTCTATCCTGAGCTGTCCATTCGTTACGGCCTCTTGCGGATATCACCATCCCCTTGTCTCACACCCAGTGCACAGCAGACCCCTCATCTCTCTCAACCTGTTCCTCCTCTGAAATTAACTGTCTCAGACATCTACAGCAGAAAACGGAGAATATAGTCTGACCTTGCTCTTCATTCTTTACCCCACCTCACCAAGTAACTATCAAATATGCTGCTTCCATTTGGCCAGAATCTCTTACGTGGGCCCCCCCTTTTCATGGCCATCAACACCGCCCTGCCAAGGCCCTCGTCCCTTCACCTCCTGATGGGCCTGGTGCTCTGCAGTCTCCGTCTTTACCACTGCTGGCTCCACCATGCTGGGTGACAGCTCTGCAACTAAAGTTTGATCAATCACTGCTTAAAAGCATTCATCAGCTCCTGACCACAGCCACAGGGATTAGCTCCTCTGGGATCAGACTCATGTCTGCCCCCGCTTCCTGCCCTACTCCCTTCCCAGTACACCAGCCATTAGAACACATCATCTAGCCACGAGACTCCATGCTAGCTCCTGAGAAAGCCACCATGAATGTCCCATTACTATACCTAGGTATTACCATTTCCTCAGAAAAGAAACATGGCCCAAGTACATCAGGGACAAAATTGTCATTATTATATGCTGCAAACACGTACTAGTTAATACATTTTTAAAAAACTTGTCCCTACCGCGCTTCTGTCTCTGACCAAGTTCCAGTCATTCTACAATGCACAGCACTAATGCTCCTGCCCCGCGAAGCACGCACACACACCCCAGTCACAGTGGTCCTCTCTGCCTCCACGACCCCACACACTTATCTGTACTCCTACCTCCTGCCCGTGCTGTAGCTTTTTATTTTAATGTTAAAAATTGGGTCATCATAAGCCCATGTTCCTTGGAACACTACTCTATACACATTACCTACTAAAAGTGCTGGGGAAAAAAATCCTGTAATGTGGAAAATTATAAACTAAACAGATCAATGAAATTAAGATACAGGTGGGGAGATTTGAGACTATCTAGATTAAGTAAATAATTAAAGTACAAAACAATTACCATGGTGGATAATTCCATTTTCTAATAATGCTTGCCCCAAGTGAACACCTTCCTCAGGCCTGTGAATTTCTCCAATTTCCAACAGCCATGACACAAATTCACTACAAGAGAAAACCAATGAAAACATTAAATCTTACCTTGCTGCTCTCTCCCCGCAAAAGAATATCTGTACCATGTAGTCATGAAGGAACTATGAAGCCAGACTCAAAACATAAAAGAATATTTCCAATGTATTTTAGTGAGTAGTTTTTCACATATATTGGATGCACAGATATAGAGGTTCGGATCTATTCTAGAAAACCCCTGTTCATATACTGAGACCATCCTAAACTACATTTCACATGCTGCTAAACTTGCTGAGGCCTCTGATAAACACAAAATGAAAATGTCATTGTCACTTTAATTATAAAGGTACTCTCCACATAAAGGCAAATGGTCGTATGTTATCATTTAGAGAACACTAAATAGAGATTTTACAAATAAAATATGCTATGCTCATGTTCTTAAAATCTAACACTTGAACTTTTACATAAACTGATGAATTTGTCTTAGACTGGCTTCTTTATGCACAGAGACCAGAGAATCAATGCTATATAGAGCACCAGGAAATTAGATTTCCATTTCCTTCAAAACTGAAGATTAAACAAATGCCTAAAGTCAAATAAACAAGGGACGTGACATTCTAAAACTGGATTGCCTAGTCTACGAAATACATTTTGCCAGATGTGGTAGTACGTGCACCTAATCTCTGCATTCCGGAACCTGAGGCCAGCCTGGGCTACACAGCAGCTCAAGGCCAGCCTGAACTACCCAGCAAGACCCTATCTCAAAAAAACAAACAACAACAACAACAACAAAAAAAACCTTTAAAGCAGGAAAGCTTGGCAAAGGGGTTTTATCTTTTTTAAATAAGAATCATCCAAAAGGAAGACAAAGAATAAAGGAAAGCACCAGAGAAACAAAAGACTAAAAAAAATTTAAAAAGGACTTGAGAAGTAACATAAAGTATAATGATTAAGACCATGTACTCTGCAGTAAGACAACCTAGATTCAAATCCTCATTCTTCTTCTGCTAGGTGTGCAACCTCTCTCTCATCGTCAATTTTTCCATCAATATAATAGAGATTATATCAGGGTCATAGTGCCGTCAAGGGGTTAAATGAGGTGATGTATAGCGGGAACTCAGCACAGTAGCTTCCTTGCTCACAGTTAGCTCTTAGTAAATCTCAAGGAATGGAGGCTGGGGATTTAGCTCAGCGGCACAGCACCTGCCTGGCAAAAGCAAGGTCGTGAGTTCAATTCCTGGTACCAGAAAAAAAAAATCTCAAGGGCTGACAAGTGGGTTGAGAGAGCTGATACATAGCCAATCCACAGTTTCCTGTTCTGATGTTACCACATTTCTAAGAATGCCAAATTCAAATGAGGAAGTCTATTTAAATATTACTATAAATTGGGATTTTTTTAAGTGAGAGAGAGAGAAAGTAGAAAGGAAGTTAATCAGGGGCTTTATCAGGGGACCTAGTCAAGTAATAGAGATTCTGGAAAGATCAGAAAAGATCTCAAACTTGGGCAACAATGCAGCACTGGCAAGTTGTTAGGGATAGGCCACAGCTAACACTTCCTAGGCTTACCTTGTACGTCAGGTACTCTGGAAAAACCTTTATAACTACTGGCTAGCACTGTGATCATATGAGACAGCGTGAGGAAAGGGTTAGCAAAACCCCTACTCATACAATTAGGATAAATTTGACCCATGATAACTTGTTAGCTTTGCTCCCCTAGATATCTGATCACCTGATGAAAGTATGATGTCAACATTGCTATGGTAAAAATGGTCCCTGATGGTTACATTACATGCCTGTAGAATCCTGGGGAAGCCACAGTTTGAAGTGACTCTCTTGCTTGTGTGGATATCCCAGTGGGGACCCTGGTAGTTATACCCACGGAGTCATCACAAGAAACACTCTCTTTTGTTGCACAGGGATCTATGACAAGTGGATCCAGGTCCGTGTTCTTCTCAGCATCAGAGCCATCAGCTGGCTGGTTACCAGCAGCTACATTACTGGGCAGCTGTGGCGCTCGCTGTGAGGACCACTCCCTCTGAAACCAGCTCAAGCTGCCCTGTAGGCAGAGGCTTGTCTGGCCCACAGTTTTTAGACTTTGGGTTAGGGGCAAATGTGGCCTATGGTCATGGTGCAAATACCCATACCTAGCTACGAAGACACCCTGATAGGCATTACAAATAAGCACTGTAATCATCTTCCATCTCTCTTGAAAGAAAAGAGAAATTTAACTTTCCCAAATCACACAAGTTTAACTCTCCCAATGATAGCTAGTGGGAGAACCAAGATTTGCTCAGAGACAATCTGACTAAAAGTCTGGGCTTTAACTACAACTCCAGCCTACTTTTACAGAACTGACGTGGGCATTCACTGACTGTATGAACTTGTGATACTTCCTGTACCCCTGATCCACACTTCCTGTACCTTTAAAAGAAAAAGGCTTATTACTTAACTCCTAAGTACATATTAGAAGATCAGAAATTATGTCCAGAATGAGGTTAACACTGAGCCTTACTTAAGAAGAATTACCTGAGCCTTACTTAAGAAGAATTACCTGAAGCAGTTACCCCTCCTGGTGACTCAGCATTAATTAAACCAGACAGGGAATCCCACTTGGGGTTGCCTGCAGAAACCAAATGATACATACTCCATGGTGTCCCGCCCTTCACACGACTCACTTTCTCAGATTTTTCACCTGTACCTCTTCACCTTCAGCTCCACTGTCTAAATTCTGAACTGCTTGGTAGTTCAGATAGTTTGCCTTCAATGTTCCAGTGTTCTCTAACCTTTTGGAACACACGTCAACTCTGACTTTCAAGCCCTGTGTGCATTTCCACGCCAGATCCATCATTCTGTCCTCTACGGGTACTGTCCCACTTCCTGCCTAGGTCCAACCTCTGCTTCACCCTCAGAACATGGAATGTCAGGAAGTATTCACGTCATGGCTAAATGATGGATGTCATAAGCTACCTGGTCATGATCCTAGCTCTCTATTCATTCTCTCATCCCACAAAGGTCCAGGAAATATAAATCATAATGAATTACTCAAAACTGCTTAGGGGGATATTTTTAAAGGAGAAAGAAATAATTAAATAGAGTAAACATGTGAGAAAATAAACAGCCTACCTTCCAAGAAAGCATTTAGGGAACGTTGTCAGTTTCCTTTTTCTGTCTTTGATTAGATTTCCTTGCTTGCACATCATTTTATAAAGTTTTTCACCCTGTTCAGAGATCATTACCCAGGTGTCTTGCTCCATTCCTAGTTTTAAACCTATCAAAAATGAGACAAAGGGTAGGTAACTGAAAAAGTGTCCGCATTGATTTGCTTATGCTTTCAATAAATATGAATTGCCTGTCTGCTACATGATGAAGCTTGCAGATGCACAGCTCTGTAAGACTGGGCTCATATTCAAGAAGCCGGGCTGGAGATATAGCTCCGTGGCACAGAGCCTGCCTGGCAAGCTTGAGGTCCCGAGTTTGACTCCCAGTACCAAAAAAAAAAAAAGGTCATGACATACTACAGACTCAGTCAAGCCAAGATCCCCAGAGTTTAAGACATTTGTGCAACTGTGCTCCAGAGGTACATGGCTGAGCCCTTAGAGGAAGAGCAGTAGACCAAGTTAGCATAATTGGGCATGGCAGCCCTGGAGACAACGCTGCAGACATGGAGGAAATTGTGATATAATAGAGGTAGATTCAGAGTACTACCTTTTCCTAAGAAATGTTAAGAAATCTTGCTTAGAAGGGGCATATTCCAATGTGCAATCATAAATAGGTATTTCAGAGAAATTAAAGAAAGTATTCACAGGAGCTAACCAAAGTCAAGAAACACAGAAGTATGGGGCCTTGGGAGCCTTGCAGTTCCAACTTAAATGCTGAAGAAACATTTAAATGTTTTAATCCATAGAAGGGAAAGGCAGGGTAGCCACAGGAAAAAAAGTTTGGTACTTTGGCAACTAAGCTCAGAGGACAGGATGAGCAACCATAAGAAAGGGCAAGTTTTAACTGGAGTGACCATTAGGAAGAAACTGCAAAAGTTCAAGCAACTTCAAACCCCTGCAAAAAAGGGGCTCTGAGATGAGGAAGACAAAATTGAGAAAGAGCTAGGAGGTTGTGCTGGTAGGACACAGCTATTGGTTATACATAGATATGAAAGGGAGAGAGGAAATCAGGGTGCCTCCCAGGATGTGATGAGAGTAACTGAATGAAGCCAGGGATACTTGTTGCGTAAAGTAGCCCATCATTCGTGAGAACTCTAAGTAGATTACAGGGGTCAGTAGAGCATGACTACAAAGCCCAGGAGAGAGGACAGGGCTGCATATAAAAGTTGAGAAGCTGGCAGTGCAGAAGTGGACATATAGTGTGATGGGAATACATAACCTAAGCAAGGAATCTAGTTAGAAGCCCGTGCCAAAGCTAAAATCCTGCGAATGCGAACACTCAATTGCTGCAGAAGAGGACATCTTTTAATTAGTTTTAGTCTTCTAAGCTACAAACTTTCCTGCTAAAAGTCTATATTTTACAGTGCAGGAACCATAACATTCATCAACAACAGTGAATTATCCCACAAAAATATCTAGCTTGATATGGGTAAATATCGCAAATGATTGATAGCATCTACTTTTTTTGTTGGTATTCTTTCAACTGTTTGTCTTGTGTGGATCACAGCCATTCTGGGAGACAAGAAGGTTCAACTTAATGAAAAAGTCAGTTCACTTTTAGAGTTATTTACTTTGCTACTTGAATTGATCACTAGACTCAAAATTCTTAATGCACTCATACCTCTGCTTTAAAAATTTCTATCTGGTTCTTTCCCCAAGATCAAACAAAAGAATCAGTATTTGAAAATGCCTTGGAAATTCTTTTTTGTTGTTGTTTTTTGGTTTTTGGTTTTTTTCCAGTACCAGGAATCGAACTCACGACCTCACACTTGCCAGGCAGGCGCTGAATGCCTTGAAAATTCTTAAACAAATATATACTGTGAGTATTTTAAGGACAATAGATACTTCATATATTCTTCAAGGGAAAGCATCTGAAGATGGAGGAAAGCTCTTTGTGCTCTGGAATTTCATTATCAAATAGGTATTTTACTTCTGAATCTCAGCCAAGAAAATCAACAGTGCCATGCTTCCTAATAATTAAAAACATTCATTGGTAAATAAACACAAGCATTTCTATTTCAGAGCCAAATTACAAAATATGTCTTCTTGCAGATAAACTTCACACAATTGAATATTACCAGACCAAAACCTGTTGAAAATGTTTCTAAAAGGATGTAGCAAATTTTATCTTAGGACCCTCCTAATTACTAATTACTAATTTATCTTAGTAATTAGGAAGCTAACATATTTGATTCACAAGTTTTCCGAGTATTTCTGAATGTGTAGAGAATAACTGTCAGATGTCCTGCAACACTGTAATATATTATTGAATGTAATATATTATTGGATGTAATATATTATTGAAAAAATAAATAATATATTATTGAAGTCTCTTAAGGCAAGATTTTGTGATACTGCTTTAGAGATGGCAAGAATAACATGCAAGGAAAATTGTACAAATTGTACAAATTTTAAAGCAAATGGAATGAGAAGACACTGCCAACCATAGTATAGTTATGTTGCTAACTATACAAAATTTTCGAAGCCCCTTTAGTTGATGCTTGCAGCCCATAGTAAATCAAAGTGAACACCGAGCACCAACCCAGTCTCTTGTAACTCTTCCCACTGTCTGATCTTGTGCTGAGTTAGAAACTCCACAAAGAATAACAGTGCCCAATCCAAGCACTCACTTTTTCGTCGTTCTCTTTCTTTCAAAATTGCTTCAAACCATTCATGCTTTTCTTCGGGTGTTTTTGCCATGCACACAAACCATTTATTTTTTGCTGTGTTATGTATCTTCCACCCATTAACAACAATATGTCCACTGCTGTGGAAATCCGCTGAGGAAAGGCCAATGAACAAAATGTGATATAACGTCAACATGCACACTCAATCCATGAAAGTCTCAAATTACTCAACTATACTCAAA